AAACACTCATGTCCTTGAATATGTGATACTCAAACTCAAAATATCAAAAGATAATAGTAATTTTTTAACTGTTAAAATCGATTAATTCGTATTTATAACATCAAAATTTGATATGTTAATAAATTAATTTAAATTAATTATTATAAAATATATTATAAAGATAATAACTTTAATCTAATTGTTTATAATTCTAAGTTTTACATTTTTAATTTAATTTAATAATATTTTTAATGGCGAAATTTTTATTAGCTGTCACGATAGAGGTATGTTTGACGTGCATTCTATATTTGGCAGGGATTGACAGGTGCTGCTGCTTGGGGTCAAATATGAGAAGCTTGAATGATAAAGGCGGCTCTTGAAGATTTGGGAGGTCGTCAAATTCTTATTTGTTTTTTTGTTTTACTTTTTATTTAATATTTATGAGAAAAAAATTACGAAGAAAATAATATATGTAGAGAAACCAGTTTTTTATGTTTTTATAACTTTTTATTTTTTTTAATAATATTTTTTTAATTAATTTTTTATTTTTTAACATGACATAAAAGGATAAATCCATCAACATCAATATTTTCAAGGATAAAATAATGTACGTCAATTTAATAGTTTTATTATTATTTTCGTTAAGTTTGAGTAAAAAAAAATTAAAAATAAAAGTTTGAGAGTCGGAAGATGTGATAAAATATATTAAGGGTCAAAATGAGAAACTCAATTAAATAAGAGGGCAAAAAAAATCATCCTATCTATTATTATTTTTCTTTTTGAAATTTAATAAGTTTTATAAATTACCAAAATGACATAGTTTAATACAATATTAAAAATATAATTCGGATATTTATATTATAACCATATTGATGAAATATTAACGAGTGCCCGTTGAACCAACCCATGCGTCTTGTTACGGGACTAAACTGTTGGTTATCTGGTCCGTGCAACTCTTAGATTCCTTGCTCAATCGCTCGGCACTAAGGCAACTTAGAATCTTAAGTTTGATGGTTTGGTTTTGTTGCAGCGACAAGCACAAGGAGTAACATGAAAAAAAGAAAGGAAACACGTATAGACAATTTTTAACACGAATACCTGAGTTTATTCACAATAAAACTTGTATGTACAATGAAGGTGAGGAGGCCTCTTTTTTTTAAAATAATAATAATGAAATCTCCTTATATTCAATGGCTAAACCTAATCTAATTACAAATGCAAATCCTACTTTAAATTGGGAATCTAAAGTTTGAGTTCTACTCAAATAAGGAGTAACGCACTGACTTATTTTCCAAGAAAGGGTCGGCCTTGCTAGGTGGAGAGGGTCCTAAGTCGGTGTTAGTCTCGACCTTAGATGCACCCTGATGTGTGCTGGCCTCGGCCTTAGGTGGCCCTTGGTGTGCACTGGCCTCTACCCTAAGCAGACCCCGATATGCGGTAGCCTTCACTCTAGGTGCGCTCCGATGTGCGTTGGCCTCAGTCCTAGACGAACCTCGATGTGCGCCGGCCTCGACCCTAGGATGACCCTCTTCATCCCCAACACCAACTAATCCTCTATGCTAGAGATATGGATTTTATTTTATGTGATGAATGTCAAGGATTTCTTCATGCTTCGTTTACCGTTGCAAGGAGTGTGACTTCAAGCTCGATTTGAAATGTGAGACCCAAGCACCCTCTGCAAGTGGAGCATCGACATTGAAAGAGTAGGAGAGGGAAACAGAGTTATTCCATTTCAGCCACAACCATAAGCTTATCTTTGGAACTTACACGTTAGGTCAAAGAGAATGCCGGTTTTGTGGACTGCAAATCACGGGTCCAACTTATATGTGCATGAGATGTTATGATTGGTTTATTCATGAATCTTGTGCTAGGTTACCAGAAGAGATTACAGGATACATGAAAAGTGCCATGCTTGTGGAGCAAGTCTTTTGTGGAATGGAGGTAGCCATGGAGTAACACACATATAGTAATGTTTGGGACATTACAAACAAACTATATCCTTGAAATTTTATAACCATGGAAGATTTCTTTTGATTCGGGCTATTGAGTTTGAGTAATTTTTATTCTAGGCCGTTTTTTGTTCGAGTTATTTTTAATTTGGGTTACTTTCGATTCAAGTTATTTTTTATTTGAGTTATTTTCAGTTTAGATTGCTTTTGATTTGAATCAATACAAATCTAGCTAAAATTTGGATCGATTTTGATTTAGATCGTTTGTTTTGAACTTCAGATCAAGTTTGAGTCATCATATTCGAGTCTATTTCGATTTTAGAATCGGGTAAATCGATTCAGGTAATCAGGTTCGGATCAAATTTGCTATGTCTATTAAATTATTTCCACCCATTTTATGTTATTAATATATGTGTGTTCGCTCTCAAATATTTTTTTTTAATTCGCTCCTGAGAATCAATTACTCCTAAAAAAAACATTAGAATGATTTCACAAGGCTCAAAATTAATACTTAAAAAAAATAAAATTTTGAAAGTCGGATTATTGTGATGCATGTGAAGAAGAAATACACACATGCGATCATGTCTATTTCCGTAAAGAATGTACATTCGTTGCTTCTATAGAACGTGTGCTTTTTTAAGGTAAATCTCTATATATTTCTTTTCTAAAACTAAAGTCATTTATTTTATTATCCTAGGAAAACCCTTTCAAATACTATATCAATATGGCATATAAATTTATATATATGTTTAATTTTGATTTAGTTAGTTTATTTCGGATTTCGATCAAGCTTGAGTCATTATGTTCGGGTCTTGTGTCGAGTAAATCGATTCAAGTGATCGAGTTGGGATCAAGTTTGTGATTAGCATCAAATTGTGATTAATAAAAACTATTATTGAATGATTTTACTAACATCACATCTAATAAATTTGTGATTAGCATCAATGAAAAATAAACTAACACACTTTTAGATGACTTGTATCTAGTAACATGGATAATATAAACATAATCAATTGAAACAATTATCCTTGAAAAAAATCATGACCAAAGAATTATACAATTTATTTAATCTTAAAATAATAAAATAAAGCTTTTAAAATTAAAATTTATTGGATAAATTATGTTACAATCGTTGATAAAATTAAGATACAATAAAACCATCACTCAATCCGTCACGTTAATTATCTGAATAATGACATTTTGAAGTGAGATATTAAATTAATAAACACGACATTCTTATTAAATTAATAAACACGACATTCATAATAAATTAATATTTTTTAATAAATTAATAACACATGTCATTATCTTATAATAAAGTACTAACAAAAAAATTACTTAATTGAATAATATTAATTTATTAAAAAATATCACATCAATTACCTTGATATAACACATCAAACTATTATTATTGGGTAACATTTATTAATAATTAGATCATCATTTTATCATAAATCAATAATATTAATAATTATTTTATTAAAAATAATATTAATAATTATTTTATTAAAAATAATATTAATAATTATAATATAATTTTTAAAACTTTAATAATGAAAAAAAAGAAATTTATTCAATCATTAATAATAGTTGTACTTAATTTACGCATTCTTAATTAATCCGACGTCCCGACAAGAAGGACGGGAGCAGCCGTCTACACAGAAAACACTTTTAGTTTTCGCCCGACAGAAAAACAAAAAAACTGTTGCTTTGTCTCAAACACCCGAATGCTTTAATATTACAGTGCGTTTGGTTCTAACATTATTTTCGGGAATAAGATTATCGAAATGTTACATTACCTTACGTATTACTATGAATGTTACATTATTGTATTTAGTTTGTTTGACAGGAATGTATGATTACATTGTTTGATTAAAGGAATAAATAATTACTAGAATGCATAAATTGTTTTTTATGATATTTTTTTAACAAGTTGAATTCCAAACAGTCAAATGAAAATATTTATATAAAAATTTATAGAAAAGATATTATTGTATTATTTTTAATTTATATATTTTTTTATTAAATTTTAAATTCATAAAATTTATATTTTTTACAAAATTTAAAAGAAAAATATGTAGATTAAAAGAGTAAATATATCATATATTCTTTTAATCTTAATTAATATTTAAAAATTTATGATAATAAATAAATAAATAAATAAAATTCCCGGTTGGAAATATTTTTGAAATAAAGTTATGATAATATACTATAGCTTTTGAAATAAAAGTAAGGGTATTTTTGAAATAAATCTTTTAGGACAAGGACATTTTAGTCTAAGTTGAAGGGAAACAAAAAATACCTAAGCCCACCATGAGATTAGGATTCCCGGTTATATTTGAAAAAAAGCTACTGTTGGTAATATTTTATTACCCTCTATTAAAAATATTGTTCATCCAAATATGAGAATCACAAGTAGGAAAAAAACATTTCCATCAGTAATGTTAAAATCCTCCATCCAAACGCCCCCTTAGGGTAAACTATGCATTTAGTCATCAATATATTTTTGTGATTTTGTGTTGGTTATCTAAATAATTTATTTTCAAATTCATAACTAACGTTATGTTATAATTTCATTTTGATCATCTATCATTAATGAATAAACAAAATTATTGATGTGATAATTTTTTTAAATTTTTTCTCAATGATGATATGACATTGTTTTATAGTGACAAGTCATTTTAATCGTTAATTTTTTAACGGTTGATGATCAAAATGGAATCAAAATGTAACGCTAAGTATGATTTAGAGAAAAAAATAGTTTAGTGACCAAAACAAAACCTTAGGAATAGTGGGTAGTAAAATACATAGTTTACCCTTAATATTAATAAAAAATCACCCTTTTGTGCATTGCCAAAACAAAAGAAGAAGAAGCACCTAAGCCGCCTTCTGCAACTGACACACACCCTTTGCTTCCATTAAAGCTTCGGCTACAACTGTATTTAATTTTGCAAAAACAGCGGCGACAACAACGGACAAACCCCACTTTATTAACTACCATGTCCTCGCATCCCGCCCTTATAAAAGGGACAACAGTTTTCGACACCATCAAGTACCATCACTCATCTTTGCTTTCTGTGATCGTGCGTTTAGATAACAATGCATTACCAGGGTGAGTCTTATATGGCAATAAGGAACATTGGGTCGGACCCGATGGAGCGGTTGGCGAAGCTGACATCGGAGAGCGCCGTCGTGATATTCAGCGTGAGTAGTTGTTGCATGTGCCATGCTGTTAAGAGGCTGTTCTGCGGAATGGGAGTGAACCCGGCGGTGTACGAGCTGGACCAGGATCCCAGAGGGGAAGAGATGGAGAGAGCTCTGACGAGGCTACTCGTTAACTCGCAAGCTGTTCCGGTTGTTTTCATCGGAGGGAAGCTGATTGGTTCCATGGATCGAGTCATGGCGTCGCATATTAATGGAACGTTGGTGCCACTTCTCAAGGAGGCAGGGGCTCTCTGGCTCTAATTCCTCCCCCGATAGAAAACATTTTATGACTTAGATGGTTAGTTAATAAATTAGCAGGAATTAGGGTTTTTATTTTTTTTCATTGCATTTCGATTATATACCATTAGAAGTTTGTTAAGTGTTGTGTTACAGTATTGTCTTTTGCCAAATTCATTTAATTAATGTAGCTCAGCGTTGTCTCATTGTATAGATAATGGAAGCTTAACACTTATCTTTGCTTTGCTCTCATCGTTAGTTTTGATTTAATTAATTAATTTTTTTTCTAATATTCTTTTATCTTCCAATATTAGATAATCATAAAAAATATTTATATAAATAAGTTTCTTCAATAATCATAAGGTTGTTTATATAAATTTATTAAAGATTTTATTCTCTGGAGGAACATAAATTTGGTAGGATGAGATCATACTGGCGATGCAGCGAATGCAGGTGGACTGTTGATCCGATCCAATCTCATCGTCCCTCCATCTCAATGTTACAGTTTAATCTCCTTTTGCGTGGCGCACTCAATAGAAACCAAAGCTTGGCGCTGCATTCTTTCCTAAACGGAAAGGGAACATGGAACATTTTCATCAATTATGTTATCGACTTATAACATTTTAGTATAGGGTGTTTATTTTTTTTGGTTTTAATCGAATTAATCGATAGAATCGAATTAGTTCGATTAATTTGGTTGGTCACCGAATTAGTTCGGTCGGGAACGGATAATAAATTTTTTTGAATTCGGTTAACGATTAATTCGGCTCAAAATCAGTTAATTAACCGAAATTAAATTTTAAATTTTAAATATATTATATATAACATATGGACTCAACTCAAACAATTTAAAACCCAATTAATAATTTAAGATCCAATAACTTTTAAACATAAATCAATATTAATTAATTAAAAAATTCATATAAGATTTTTATTTTATAATTATTTATTATTTAAATTAATTTTAATCTGTTTTTTTAATTAAAAATATTCACTTTTTATATAAATTAGAAAATTTTAAAAAAATTCGGTTAATTAAAAAATTAACCGAAATTTATTCGGTTCGGTTAATATTTTCAAAAAAAAGTTCGGTTCGGTTAACGGTTAACGAAAAAAAAGTTCAGTTAATTCGATTAATGGTAATTCGGTTCGATCGGCCACCGTTTTAACCAAATGAACACCCCTACTCAAATTGTTATCGATTTATAATGTGTTAGTCACTAAAACACTAGATGCAATTAGTTTAATGATATGTCACGTTAATAAAAGAGGTTAATTCTTAATTTAACCCATGAATTTTAGATAAAATATTAATTTAACTTATGAATCTGATCAAAGTCCTCACCTTCAATCGGTGCTCACCATTGTCAGCAATCATTTTCCATAGCCATCAACCATCGTAGCAATTATCGTTGGACCCTATAATTTTTAGTTTACTCTTTTTTGGGCCCATGAAGACAAGTAAGATATTAGTTTCAATGAAATATACCTTAAACTCTACAAATCTAGCATAAAACTTTTGATTTCCTTTAAAATTAAATCATAATAATAAATTTATCATTAACATTAAAAAAAAATAAGGATACTAGAAATCTAAATTTATATCATAAAATTTTCATAGTCAAGGTGGAGTTTAGTTGAAACTCATCTTAATATGATATATTTATTAAAATATCCTTTTTCATTTTATAAATATTTTTATATAACATATTTCAAGCTTTTTATTAAATTTTTGGGGTCGTGGGTTGAGTTTTTTTTGTTAAAATTTCATGATTGTGTCGAATTAAAGTTCAGAGATAGAATTGAAACATACAAAAGTTTAGGGATTAATATAGAATAAGGGTCATAATTTGATGATGGGTTTATAATGTTAAAAAATTCAATGATCAACATAGAACGAAAGTCATAATTTAATGAAGAAATTTAAATATTAAAAAATTTGGAAATTAACTTAAAAATGAATCATAATTTAGGAATGTGTAGTACAATTTACTCAATTTTAAGATTACCAATTAGAGTATCTACATTAAAATTGTCTAATTAATTTGTAACCAATGAAAAGAAAAAGAAATTGCACATTGAAGCGAGCGTAGGTGTTTTAAAGGTCGAACTCTGGGGATCAATTAAAATTTCAGCAGTGGTTGCAAGAATAAGAGGGAACATCTTTATGGCACTGCTGCGTATTGCAAGGCAGCAATATTATTTTATTGTACCGTGTAGACCATGCTCACCTCTGCACTCTGACCTTAATTCCTTCGAATTTGCAGGTCCATTATTAGAGTTAAGAGCATCGCAGAACCTTAAATGCCCCCACAAATCTCATTGCACCCGCAGGGAACATATACCATTTATTATGCCCGTTTATCATGATTAAAAAAACTCTTATATTTTCTATATATATAGTCATCAAGCATGAGACAATATTCTCTATGTACTAACTAGTTTTGTACATGGAGGACTTAATGGTGCTTACAATGTACATTAAATTTATGCAGTGAAATTCTTCATCATGTGTCCTTATCGAATCTATGCTGGAATTAATATATGTTTCACCTATAACGTTACAAGGGAATTAATTCCTGTTCGAATTGTGTATGAAGATTGTATAAGAGTGTCCTATATATCCAACACGTCTAATATTATTCTATTGGTCTTGTATAGTCGTGTATCCAACACGTCTAATACTTCTAAAAGTCCTATAATTTCTCTCTTACCAAATGGAGTAAATAAAAGCACTCTACGCAAGTCTCAAAATAAGGGTAATAAGAGACTTACCTTTGAGAACCGCACAAGCCCATCCAATCTCTTGTACCCAACCTTGCATCATCCTACGCACCCTGCACGAATCAAGAACGACCCTTCAAATGACTATCGAAAAGGAGCATTCAAAATATGGTCTCTTGTCTCATTAGCAGAACCACAAAGGATACACACAATATCAATTACCATCCCCATCGGATCAACTTATCTTTCGTTGGTAAAAGAGTTTGTTAATAAGAGGCTCCAACGTAATCCCTCTCCTGCTGTTCTTGAAGGATTTGTGAAAGCAAAGGCCGAGCTAAGTCGTTATTAGATAAAGAAAAACTATATTGGGCACAACACTCTCATGTTCAGTGCCTTACCCAGGGTGATAGGAATACTTCCTACTTTCACGGGAGAGCGAACGGTCAATAAAAATGAAATTTGATCCGAGGGCTTTATGACAGCTCTGGGTCTTGGTGTGTGGACAAAAGTGGAGTCGACACATTATTAAAGAGCCCCATAGTTTAGTGGCAACGGTGTTACGAAGCCAAATACTTCTTGGATGCGGATATCTTACATGCCAACCTTGGTGATAAGTGCTCGTTTGCTTGGAAGGGGATACATCACATGTTGTTTGCGATGCGAGAAAGGCTCTTCTCGCGTATCGGGTGGGATAGCCCTACGGGAATGCATGTACCCTTGGGGAGGGTTCTCTAAACTCTCCTTTGTAGGTACATATGCTGATGCAATTGACAATCAAGTCCGATGCCGGGATTTCATGATCTCCAGTATGGCCAGATGGAATGCAGACTTAGTGCGACAGTCGTTTTGTTCAAAAGACGCAGATAACATCATTGTAGTGATCATCGCTTTTAGTCAGGGTGATACGATTGTGTGGGGTTTCCATGATTCCGGTTGCTATTCCGTGCGTTCTGGTTATCATTAGTTTCAACGACCTTTCCATGTGCCGGGACTGATCTGAAAAGCATGGAAGATTATTTCCAAGCTACAAGTTCTGTCGAAGATTTAGATACTTGCTTGGAGGGTGGCTCATGTGGCGTTACCTATTTGTAGCCGTTTGAAACAAGGTCTGTCAAATGGGGTCTGTCCTCTGTGACACATGAGTGACGAGACGGTGGTGCATGCCTTACGCTTGTGTCCAAGCTCACAGGAGGCTATTCGTCTTGCTGGTTTTCCAGCTCGAGTCTTTCTTTGTACTGTTGATGATCCATTGTTGTGGTTTGAGCACTGCCTGCTTGTGTTGGGCATTAAACAATTTGTTTATTTGATTATATTTCTTTGGAACTTGTGGAATGGGCGTAATGCGTTTATTCATGATAACATGCTACAACCTTCTTAGATTCTTGTTGCTAATGCTCAGGTTATTCATCGAGATTTTCTAGAGGCTTCTCGCACGCATCGCCGAGGTTATGTTGTTGGTGTTGTTGCTAGTTTGGATGAATTGGTGATTGCTGCATCCTCTTTCCCGGTGTGGTGAAGATCAATTTGGGCGACTCTTTTGACTCGAGTTCTGGTTGTATTGTTGTTGGAGTTGTGGCTCGCGACCACGGGGGAGAGTCTTGGGTTGTTTAGTACAGGCTATGCACAGTGTTGGTGATCCAGGCTTAATCGAGATTCGTGCTTTTAGTGCTGCTTTATCATCGGCCTTTGATAACGAATCGGTGAATGTACATTTTGAATATGATTGTGCTCATTTGGTGAACAAGCTGATTCGTGATGATGAAGATTTATGTACCTTGACTTGTCATCTTCGAATAGCGAAGGAATGTTTTAAGGCTTGTCCTAGATTTCACGTTTCTCTTATTCAACGATCTTGCAATTCTATAGCAGATGTTTTGGCCGAATGAGCTTGTATATCCTTGTCATTTTTATTTTTTGACTTGGATTGTCCTGAGACTATCCTTTCGGAGGTGACAAATGATGTACGATTTATTTAATTTATGCAATTGGACACTATTTCCCCTTGTAGGCTCAACACCTTGTGTTGATTAGGAGGGTTTTTAACGAGGCTCGTTTTCCTTAAAAAAGAATCTTCGTTGCTAATTGTCCAAAACAACTAACCAATCGGTCCAATAAATGTTCATATTAGCTCTCAACACACTCATGATAATTGCTCTAAACTTTCAACATGAATGTATAAACCATTAAAACACTATTGATACCCTCTTCGAGATTAAGAGATTAAATTTTAAAATTAAAATCAAGAACAAACCTATCAAAAATACAATACCGATTATTAGAGGTTTAATAGACTGTGCACA